GAGCCATAGGTAGATACACTTTGCCTCCTCCCATGACCAAAAGGAGGACAAAAGCAAATTTAAAAACAAAAAATAACCAGAACTGCCAGAAAATAGAACTGAATGGAAGTCAGACAACCAAGGAGTTAAAGAAAAAACATTCATTCAGGCTGGTCGAAGGAGTGGAGACAGGCAGCCAGAGCAGAGAGGATGCATGGCAAGGTGGTGACTGGAGGACCGGGCAGTCCCACATTTGCATACAGATAAATAGGGAGGAACAACTGGGGAGTGAGACAAAGTGTGCAACTCAGGGTTCCAGCATGGGAAAAGAAAGCCTCAAAACCTCTGGCTATAAAAACCTGTGGGTGTTGTAGCAGCAGGGGAAACTCCCAGCCTCACAGGAGAGTTCACTGGAGAGACCCACAGGGTCCTAGAAGGTACACAAACCCATCCACCCAGGAATCAGCACCAGAAGGGCTCAATTTGCTTGTGGGTAGCGGGGAAAGTGACTGAAAGCTGGTAGAGAGCCAAGCATTGTTCCCTCTTGGACCCCTCCCCCACATACAGTGCCACAACGCAGTAATGTGGGTTGCCTCAACCTTGTGAATACTTAAGACTCTGCCCCTTATTATGTAACAGGCACAAAAAGACAAAGCAAAATTGCCCAAATGAAAGAACAGTTCAAAGCTCCGAAAATAAAACTAAGCAATGAAGAGATAGGCAACCTATCAGATGCAGAGTTCAAAACACTGGTAATCAGGATGCTCAGAGAAATGGTTGATTATGGTCACAAAATAGATGAAGAAGTGAAGGCTACACAAAGTGAAATAAAGAAAAATATACAGGGAACCAACAGTCCAGGGAAGGAAACTGGGACTCAAATTAACAGTTTGGAGTAGAAGGAAGAAATAAACATTCAACCAGAACAGAATGAAGAAATGAGAATTCAGAAAAAATAAGGAGATGCTTAGGAACCTCTGGGACAACTTTAAACATTCCAACATCTGGATCATAAGGGTGCCAGAAGAAGAGGAAGAGCAAGACATTGAAAACTTCTTTGAAAAAATAATGAAGATTATTGAAGATTAATGAAGAAGAGAACTTCCCCAATCTGGCGAAGGAAATAGACTTCCAGGAAGTCCTGGAGGCTCAGAGAATCCCAAAGAAGTTGGACCCAAGGAAGCATACACTGAGGCATATCATAATTATATTTCCCAAGATTAAAGATAAGGAGAGAATCTTAAAAGCAACAAGAGAAAAGGAGACAGTTACCTATGAAGGAGTTCCCATAAGGCTATCAGTTGATTTCTCAAAAGAAATCTTGCAGGCAAGTAGGGACTGGAAATAAGTATTCCAAGTCATGAAAGACAAAGATCTACATCCAAGATTACTCTATCCAGCAAAGCTATCATCTAGAATGGAAGAGCAGATAAAGTGCTTCTCCGATAAGGTCAAGGTAAAGGAGTTCATCATCGCCAAGCCCTTATTACATAAAATGTTAAAGGTACTTATCTAAGAAAAAGTCCTCTATCATCTGATCAAAAATATGAACAGTAAAATGACAGCAAACTCACAACTATCAACAACTGATCCTAAAAATAAACAAATAAATAAATAAATACTAAGCAAACAACTAGAACAGCAAACAACAGAATCACAGAATTGTAGAGCACATGGAAGGTTATCAATGGGGAGGGGCGGGGAGAGAATTGGGGGAAAGGTACAAGGAATAAGAAGCATAAATGGTAGGTACAAAATAGACAGGGGGAGGTTAAAATAGTATAGAAGATGGAGAAGTCAAAGACCTTATATGTACGACCCATGAACTAAAGGTAAGGGGGAATGCTGGTGAGAGGGTGGGTACCGGGTGGAAGGGATAAAGGGGAAGAAAACAAATGGGACAACTGTAATAGCATAATCAATAAAATACCTTTTTAAAAAATTAAAAGTTTGATACCTCCTGCTCTAGGATAATTTGGGGAGGAATTAGTTTTATTTCCTATGAATACGTGTCACTGTATCCTTGTTTATCAAGCAATAAAAGAGCTTTCATTTACTAATCAAAAAAAAAAGAAAAAATATATATATTCTTACCGGGGTGTCGGAGGATCATTCTAAAAGATAGAGAATCTCAAGGGGAAATCTTCAGAGTGCGAGCTCCTCACTCTGAAGAAGCTGAAGAAGCTCCAGATCAGAAAATAAGAAAAGGGCCATCCATCCTGGAAAGGACCCATTTGCACCAGGGAAAAGCCTGTATCCTAGGCATGACCCCATATTTGCCAAATATCCTAGTTCTAAGGTGAAACTAAGCACAGGCTCTTCCCTCTGATGAACAAAGTAATTGTTGCTGTCCCTAGACCCAGTATGGAGGACTGGGAGGTAACAGACTCCAGGATGCTTAGGGTTGCAGCTCTTCTCATTGTCAGCAGAGTTCCTGGGACAGGGGAAGATAGGGGGGCTTCTCCCCAAAACCTGTGTATCCCCAAGGAAGGCTGGGGTGGGTCCCCTATTCAGAGATGCACAAAGGTCCCATCAGGTGGTGCTAGCAGATTCATTGGTCACACACACAGATCGGAAAATGCAGCATTTCCTTGGGTTGCTCTCAGAGAGGCCAGAGGGCTCCTTAAATGGAACTAATCAGGCAGAGCCATCCATGGCTGTTACTGAGAGTGGCCAGGCATTCAGTGGCTAGGCTGAACTTGCACACATAACCCATCCATCCTCTAATTATACATTTAAAACCAACTATTTTCTTTTATGTTAAACTAATCATATACACTATTTTTTTTTGGGGGGGGGAATCCTTATAGGCACTTTATTCAGATGTCTGGCAATCTGAGAAGACAGCGGGTTATGTACCCTAATAGACCATTTTACATCCCATTTTAAAATGACCCTTTTTTTTAATTCAGGGCCTACAGACTTTAGGTAACTTTGAGTCAGTTGGGTGACCATAGGGAAATGACTTCATTCTAAGGTGGCTTCGCTTACAGGGCCCAGGCTCCATGAGGGAGATTTTCCCAAGAGTCTCTGCAAACCCAGACCCTGTGAAACATGTTTGGAAAATATGGTGCAGGCTTTGATAGATTGGCAACTGTGAAAGTCAAGAAAGGAATAATAAACTGCAGTAAGACAAGAGGAATTTTTATTATGTTTAATGACAGATCTTCCCAAAAGGAATCCAAACCCCAATATGTCACAAAATTATTGATGTTATTATATACTCCAAAAGCAAAAGGTCTCAGCGGCAACCCTGGCCCAATATGATTCCTCAAAACTAAAATAATTCCTGAAGAAATAAAAAGGTAAAATCAGAATAATTTAAACAATAGAGTTAACAGATCAGAAAATGAGAAAAGGGCAGATTGAGTTGTGAAAAAGAACAACAAAAAGACTTTAAATAAGGGTGGGCATTTAAGATCTTATTCATAAATCAAATTAAGAAGTCATGCTAAAAAATGAACACGAATGTCACAGAGTATATCTGAGCAATAAAGCCACATGCGGTACCAACTAATTAGAATGACCTCCTTTGCTTACATCCTCCTTTGTAAGTGGCCCTTTTCCAAGAATTGTACCTCAGTCTTAATGTGATGCAGTACCTTTTATTTCTGATGACTACTTAGATACCAAAGTAAACTGACAACTATAATTTCAGATGCTCTGAGAACGCACAAACAGGTGTGATCTAAGCCTGTTGTCTGTTTTCCAAAGGTGCAGTGTTTGTTGCAGTATATACCTTTATTTGGCTGAGATCCTGAGAAAACAATAAATGAGTTTTGTTTTATTGTTTTTGTTTGGGGAGGGCTTTTTTTCCTCCTTTAATTTTGAATTTCCTTTTCCTAATTTACCTAATGAACCAATTCCTGTGGTCATAATGAGAAAAGAAGACTTGACCCTTCATTGTATCTCCCAAAACTCCCACAGCTGCAGGGCGTGGTGGAGGAAGTGCTCGGGCTATGGTACGGAAGACGGCAAAGGTTCCGTTTTCAGGCCCTCTCTTTCCTGGGTCTGTGCCCAGGGAGGCAGATGTGCCTCCAGCTCCACTTCATCCCGTTCCATCCTCTTCGTGCTCCCTCACACTGCGTGCTCACCCTTCTAACTAACTTTAAATTCAGTTTTGGCAGTCGTATTTACAAAGCCCATTCACTTAAAGTAGATCTTTCAGAGAAATAATGGAGGAAGCTGTTGTTCCTCATGTAAATTTATGAAGAACTGCTGACCAAGAGGAGGGATAGTGACAGAAGAATGCGTTTAAACTACAGTCCAAAGAAATTAGCCTCTTCCTACAAATGTATCATAGAAATTGAACCTTTTTTAAAAAATATTTTATTTATTTATTTTTAAAGAGATGGGAAGGGAGGAAAGAAGAGAGGAAGAGAAACATCAATGTGTGGTTACCTATCACAGGCCCTCCACCAGGGACTTGGCCTGCAACCCAGGCATGTGTCCTGACTACGGATTGAACCAGCAACCCTTTGGTTTGCAGGCTGGTGCTCAGTCCACTAAGCCACCCCATCTAGGGCAAAATTAAACCTTTAAAGCAAGATTTGAATTCTCCATATGAAAGCCTCCCTCTTCCTGTATTTTCAGTGGACTTCAAGTACAGAAAGCCTAACACTGAAAAACAAATAAACAACATTAAAAAAAAAAACAGATTTACCAAAAAGAAAAAATCAGGTTGGCAGTCTTTTCCTAGAGAATTTATCAGGTTATTTCATGAAATAGAATCTTCTTCTAGCTGATGTAAAATGTACGTTGATTTGGAAAGAAAGAGAGAGGGGGTGGAACTGAGGAGGAAGGAGGGAAGGAGGGGAAAAAAGGACTTTTCAAGGACACTCCATGCCAAAAATGAGGAATACCTGAAAAGGCATCTTGACATTTTCAGTGAAATTCTAAGGAGTACTTTCTAAGCACCTACCACTCAACTATTGTTATTTTTTATTTCAAGCTCCAAACAAACACACAAACATTAAAACACAAATTTTCCAGCTCCACAAGAAAATATGAGCTCCAAACAATGAACACTTTAATTAACAACTCTTACCTGGGTACAAAAGATTGAGCACAGGGTTTGATTTAAAGGGGATTAGACATCGGCAACTCCACACACATAACAAAAATTGTTGTTCATTTCCCTAAGGATGTGTCAGTTGCCTGGATGAGGGAGTTCTTCATGATACTCCTTCAGCTTTCTTTCAGTGTCCCCTGCAGGTGGGACTGAGGAAAAAGAACACACAATCAACACAGCCAAGGAGAAAATGATCTCACTCTATTCTAATCTTGGCATGCCTCTTCCTTGGGATCACCTGGTGTCTGAGCCCCGACCCTTGTCCTGTGTTCCCAACGCATAATGAGGCAATACTAGTTAGCATGCCAAAGCAGCTGTGTGGTCTTGGGCAAGTTACCTGACCTCTTTGTATAATGTGAGGGTGATAATCAGCAGAGTATCTGCCTCTGGAGAATGCTATTGTGAGGAGTGTATGGTCCTTGGTACACTGTATACCAGCAGGAACTGTTAGATGTCACTGAGCGAAACTGTTAAACATGCCCCCCATCAATTCCATTCTGTGGAACAATCATTTTTCAACATGGACAGTGTAGGACTGGGGGTGTTCCAAGTCCCCATCCTCAAGGCACTGGCAGTCTACTGCAGAGATTCTCAAACTGAAATATGCATCAGAATCCCCTGAAGAACAGTTTTAACAGTACTGGGCACAGTGCAGAGATTCCAATTGAATTGGTCTGAAGTGGAGCCTGGGCATCAGTATTTTTCAGAGGCCCTCCCTGCTTCCCCGTGATTCTAATGCTCCTGGAGGACTGCTGACCCAAGGATCTGCCTTGTGGTTTGGGTGCACAGCCACTGCCTGCAGGGTCTGTGGGACTCCTGGGGTGAAAGGAGGTGAGTCACTATCCACTGAGTCAATCCCCACAAGCCACCCAACGACAAATCCCTCAGAACCTGGTGACCAAATCAAAGAGTGAGGATCCCTAAAGTTGGAGTTCAGAGTCTATAGCCTGGCTTGCTTTTTGCTTCAGTTGTAATGGAGGTGAAGGAGCCCCTGTGGAAGGAAGTAAAATAGCTCCTGCCTGCCCACAGAGAGGTCAGCCTGGAGGCCATGCTAGCTACTATCTTAAGAGCTGGAGGCCCAGTGACCTCCGACAGAATCAGAAACTAGTCCTTCAGTTAATTTTTGCCCTGTTTTTCTTTTCTTGGTTTACTTCCTTTTGGCTATTCTTTAATTTTAGAAAAGTTTTGTGCTATAATTCTTGTCTGTGCCTGCATTCCTTGCTCACCCTCTGACTGGGAGCATTACAAGTAGACTAGCTCACCCTGAAGGCCAGCCATGGTGGTGGGAAGCGGGACCGCAGGACACTGCTCCCAGGTGTGCACCACTCAGTGGGGCCAGAGTTGGTGCCATGTGCTCAGTCTCCCCTGCGTTTAGAGACTTCCCTTCCAGTCCTCCATCCCCTTCTTGGGGGAGTTTTCACAAGGAAAACCAATTGCAGTACAAGGCTGAAGGGAACAAGTACTAAGTCCAGGCCTGTGGAGGAGCAAAAGACAGGCCCTGGCTCTGCTTGAGGGACCAGGGGGTTCACAGAGGCGGGCCTTGCAAGCCCGTCCTCCAAAGCAGAATCTCAGCAAGTACATACTGGATATGGGCAATCAGCTCACACACACTTGTTAAGAACCATAACGCAAAGGTAATCATGCCTTCTAAGAGAACTAGGTGTATGTGTGTGTTTATGTGATTTTTTTGTGTGATAAAATTCACATAACATAAAGACCACCATTTTAACCATTTTAAATTATACAAGGGATAAGCTTTTTTTAATTCTCACCCGAAGATATCTTTATTGATTTTAGAGAGAGAGGAAGGGAGAGAGAGAGAAACATCTATATAAGAGAGAAATATCAATCAGTTGCCTCCTATACACACCCCAACTGGAGATTGAACCCACAACCCAGGTATGTGCCCTGACCAGGATCAAACCTGCAACCTTTTGGTGTACAGGATGATGCTCCAACCAACTGAGCCACCCAGCCAGGGCAGGGACCCAAAACACCACCTCCCAAAACATCCAGAATAAGGAGAAATGTATTCCAACCCCTTCTACTCATTTCCTCTACGCATTCCCTAGTCAGACAATTTGGGACTTATTATTTTTAGCTCAAGAATCCCTGGCATTTTGTGGTAAGATTCTACTTTTTCAGTTCCCCCAAATCTTGAGGTCACTAGGAAACCAAGAGAGGGAAAGCTGAGCAACAGTGAAACAGCAGGAGGGAAGAAGGGAAGGAAGGGGCAAGAACTGGCGCTGCCCTCCAATCCTGCAGTGACTTGTGCCAGGAGGTAGGATGTGAGCACCATAAAAAAAGAAAGAAAGAAAAGGAAGGAAGGAAGGAAGGAAGGAAGGAAGGAAGGAAGGAAGGAAGGAAGGAAAGGTTCTTGACATCAAAAGTAAATTTGAGGTGGGCAATGATTAAACATACTAGTATCTTGAGTCAATTTGTTAAGCTGAATGCACCACCTCCTGTATTCTGCGATCCTGACAAAACATTCCACTCTAGAGGTGAGAACACAGAGGCTTATTCCGGGGCGGGAGGGTCAGGACATTAGGACATGTAGAATGTTCAGTGCAGCACTGTTTTTTAAAAATGGTGCTGCAAGCAGGAGGGCTTCATTGAGAAAAGTGGGGAAGGAGGCGTGTAGTGGAAACCCACTGGGTGTTCTGCTGGATGCTCCTCTCTGGGGCTGTCTTCCGAACTCACGGCACGTCTGGGGCCGTCCTGCTTTAGCCGCTTGACCTTGCTTGTTTGGGTCTTCTCTGAACTCATTGTGATATCAGCCTCTTTCTAATAAATGTCCTATTGGCTTAAGACAGCCAAAGCCATCCGGGTTTTTACAACCACGAAAACCTTTACTACCGCAGCCCTCCAGCACCCCTGCCTCACCAGGAGTCCGTGACCCGGGAAGTGGGCGTAGAGACCACTGGAAGGGATCTTGTGTTGTATTGGAAACCTATTTTCTAAGAATTTACTAATTTTTTTCTCACTTTCTCTCCATCCCCTCACATCAGTGTCCCCATATTAGCTGGTTCAGGGCTTTCTGTAACTCAGTGTCACCTGTGTTGAATTTCAGTGCAATTTGGCATTTGGTAATTATGTGGGCCGTGTTCCCTAAGTGGTAATTATGTGAGTTATGTTCTGTGTAACTACCTAATAAGTGCCTAGATGACTGTTTTGGCAACCGGAGATGAAGTGGGCCAGAATCCATCCTTTAATCTACCAAGCAGAACGTTCTAAGGTAGGAGCCTGCAGAACTGGCAACTACTGAGCTGTCCTCCTCATTCCTCTGTGCTGAAGGTGGGGAGTCCTGGCCAGCCCTGGGGCCCTCAAACCAGATTTCCAGGGGCCTGACCCTAAGTAAAAACCTAGCATATTATCCCACACTCCTTTATTGTTTAAAAAGACTCATAATTATTTCGAAATTGCTAGAACAAGGGACCTCATAAAACAGCACCAAAGGATCCTTGTGGGAGATAGTCCCAGAAATGCCCACAAACTCTCCTGGGGTCCAAAGGGCTCCTCTGCTCTTTCTCCCCAGGGTTCTCCTATCACACGCCCTAGGTCTGGAGAAGTAACACAATGTAATGGTTAAAGGTGTGATCACTGAAGCCAGACTACCCAGGTTCCTGTTTCGGCTGTGCCATTTGCTAGTCGTGGCACCTTCAGAAAGGTACCTGCATGCTCTGCACCTCAGTTTCTCTACTCATAAAATGGAAGTAATGATAGTAACTACTTCAGAGGATTGTGGGAATTAAACATGAACCCATTTAATACATGTGAAGTATTTGGACCAGTTCCTGGCACTCAGGAAGCACTTGACAATGAAGAGCTATTAGCTATTGTTATTTTGGGCCCGGGTTAGGAATGGAAAAGAATACCTGAGAAATGATGACATCTCACTATGTGGCCAACTACTTGCCTCATATCTGAATTCTAGGGTTGCCTTATTACCTCATTCAGCATTCACTCATAAAAAATATTTACTGAGCGCCAACCACAGTGGAGAGCCATCTGATACAAGACGACAACAGGCAGGGAGTGGGGGTTTGGTTCTTGTTGAGAACACAGGCCTAGCACGTGTGGTTGAATTCACCCGAGTTAAATGAGATTCCATTGTAGCACACTAAATGCTGGCTATAAAATAGTGAGCAAAAGAGGCAGGTTTCACTCAAGAAGTAGGGGCAGACTTTTAAGGAGTCAAGCCATATAAACATAACAACAAACTATGTCATGCTTTATGAAAATGCTGGGTGCTAAGAAACAGGTATGTCTCAGAAGGGGAGGAAGTGTCATAGAAATTCATGAAACTCAAAAGATAAACAGAAGTGACCCAAGCAGGAGCAGGAACAGTATCCCAAACAGAGAGAACAATGTGCATAAAGGCATCACGGCAGGAAAAAACTCATGTTCCAGGAGCTGAAAAGAGAGGCCATTAGATAATGAGAGAGACAGAGACACAAGGGAAGGCAAGAGAGCTGGCAGACCCACATACGTTCTGTCACTGCCACTCTGTGAAGGAGGAACATGGTTCTTAGGTCTCTCTCACATCTGTCCAGCACGTTTTCTAACTACCTCACACTGACAGCAGGAAACTAAAATCACTTTAGCAAATCATGATAAGAAGCACTTAAGCTGCTTACTTACATAAAACATCAGCTTAAGAATATTTCTGTGCACAAACCGGGTAGTTCTTCAGAGGGTAGCTTGGTCTTTCAAGGGTGTGATTTACTTCAGAGATAAAATCTTCCTATAATAAAAACAAATGCAGCAATTGCATCATTCATAATGTAATAAGGATCAATGACAGCACAATGAGTAGTTTGCATTTCTGAGGCTAAGAATGCCATATACTCTGTATATGTGGGGTTCACACACGTGTGTGTATGTAAGTACTCTTTCTTTCTCTTCTTCCTCCTCCTACCTCCCTTCCTTTGTTCTCTCCCTTCCTTTTTTTTTTTACATTTTAAAGGGATTTCCTTACTTGGAAAAACTGTGACTTTTCAGAGAGGAAGTAAAGTAACCCACTACCCCGTGGTTAGAATAATCATTACTCATTTTAACTGTCACCCTATAGATCTAGGATATGCCAGCATTTTTAAGTAAGTCAATACAACCAATTCAACTATATGGTACGGTGAAATCCAACTGCAGGCACTGTTAACCTTACGTTTGAATTCTTTTGAAATGGTGATAGGTCACGTAGCTAATGACTGTCAATCTGCAGTAGACAAAGTACTGGCTGCATCTACCTATGAATCAGAAACACTCCCCACAGCCCCATAAAAGATGAAAAGCCAAAACACCTTATTAACTTTGAGAAAAGAGTGACGACAGGGAATATATAAAATGGGGTCACTTTAACCAAGCTGCTAAAATTGTTAACATTATCAAGATTCAGGCAGGAGGAAAAACCCCATTTTTGTTCTAACTAGCCTAAGAACTTAAATTATTTTTTAACTTTCCAGTCCTGCATCAATGCCTGGTTATGCATCTGGACCTCCAGATAACCCTCTAATTACCACCGAAGGACTCACTTATACATCAACCTGACACCTAAGTCACTGGACGTGACCAGACCGACTAGCTGTCACCTGACAACCATTCTGGGCAAATCCTAGGGCTAAGAATGTAGGACTGATAATTCTCAAGAATGCACCTTTTACTGTAAGAATTTTAACTTTTCTCTCTTCTTTAAAACATCAGGGTTTTGCCTGGCTGTTTCCAGTTTGAAAACTCTAGGAGTCTTGAACAAATCTATGATTTATTTCTAGGAAAACCACCAGACTCTTTTTGAGTTTGTTCAACAGCTTTTAGGAGAACTTTCTTCCATGCTGTGGCCTTACACAGACCACACACACTTCTCTGGGTTCTCCTGTGGACCAGAATTCCTGTGTCTGGTGGAAGGGAATGTGCTTTGAGTCAGTTACACTGTCTTCTCTAAGTCCTTTGAAAGGACGCTCCTCCTCTTGCTGCAGGACCTCCTCTTGATGCATGCTGTACTCCAAATTAGCTGCTACTTATTGTTCAGTTCCAAACTCCATTGTCTCTCCCCAGGGGAGTTGCTCTGACTCCCAACCAAGTCAAATACCCCTTTTCCTACACTCCCAGGACACCATGTAGTCTCCTGGATAAGTGTCACAATTTTACATTTATTTTTGTAGTTGCTTGATTAATGTCTGTCTTCCCCAATGAACTGTAAGTCCCAGTTCCCATGTTATTCTGCCAGCAAAAATCTAGTTTGATGAGAAGCCCTAACCTCGTTTAGGCGCTGCCGAGCTCTGTGGGATGTCAGAAGATTGCATACTCTTTCATGGATCTTCTTCCATGTGGACTGAGAACCAGGGTGGAACCTGCTCAACAGATTAAACAGGGAGATTATGCCCCTAATAAAAAGGATAGTTAGAGTACATAACAATATGGGTTGATATTTATAGCTTAATAGTAAGAAAACAGAAGCAACATATAAAATAATACACATAATACAGTTTTAATACCCATATAAAACCTGTGTATAGGAAACTCACTAGGAATAAAAACAACTGAGATGTTAATAATGGTGTGTGTTTAGGTGTATGGCTGTGAGTGACTTTCTTCTTTGTACTTAACTATGTATTTTAGATATTTCTCTAAAGAACAAATCCTGCCTTTTACATTAAGAATTTAATCCAAAACTTTTAATATAAACATCAATTCCATTGTTTTCCACCATAAGGATTTTATTTTGTATCTCACTTACTTGAGGCCAACCAGACCCAACCTTAACCACAGGTCTTAACATCATCTTCCAGTTCCGCGAACATGCTGCACTTCCTCCTCCCAGAGGCATCTGCCCACACTGCTCCCTCTGCCTGGAGTGCTGCCACCCCAACCCTGTCCCCACTCGTGTAACTCCTACCCACCCTCCAGAGCTCAGTTCGTGTATTGAGTTCTTGGGAAAGTCCTTCCTGATCCCTTTCGTGCAGAGGAAGTCAGAGTCCCTATTTTATGCATTCAGAATCCATTTACCCCGTATTCAGTGCGCTCCCCCTAGCAGACACATTGTCATTATTCGACTAGTGTCTCTTTCTACTCCTAGGCTGAAATTGGGAATGCAGCTCTTGGGTTAATAGTTCATCCTATGGCCTCATGGGTATTGAATACCACAGTAGGTATATTTAATAAATATTTCTTGAGTGATTGAATTAATCCATTCATTAGTTGAATTCATTTATTCATTTTGAGGAGGAAATGGGTACCAACTCCTAAATACTGAGGTGGAATTAGAAATTTGATTATGAAAATCTTGTTTCCTCAAAATGCCTGAAGAAGATTAGCAATTTTGATAAAACTGTTCTCTTTAATTAGCATACAATAAACATTAGGAAGGACAGGAACATTTGGGAATCAATTGGGGATTACTATGGCCAACATATTATTGAGCTCCTGAGCAGTTGCCCCTCTACTTAGTTTGGGACCAACATCTGGGAAGCCCATCCTGGCTCTCTCTATAATAAGCACATGTAGCTTGTTTCCAGGTCGACAAGACCAAGAACATTACTGTATTTAAACAGACCCGTAACCGACTCAGAAAAAAGACTCAGCAAATGGAAGCGCCACTCGAAGCACTACCCATGTTTAAGAAAAAGCCAGGCACATCATTTCTACACTTCTCTAAGAATTTTTAAGAGGAAGGAATAAAAATATATTGAAGCTATAAATAAAGCTAGCATCTAAAAAGATCCACTAACTGGATACCATAAATATATTTTCTATAAGTGTTGAGTAACCAGTACCAAAACAATTCCTACAATTTGTTACCATTATTATTCTATACAATCAATATTACATTTGAAGATCTCTGAGAATGAGTCAACAGACAGGAGCAGTGCTGTGCCTTTATTATAGCTTTCTTCTTGTGCTGTGGAACAGTGAGGATGTGTGTTACAGGGATGTGTCACTATTAAGATGACAGATAGTGATCAGGCTTAAGAGTGTTTGTTCTTCCATCCTTTGGGACTACCATTTTTCAACCCACTAGTTAAAGGGGTTTTCTTCTTCTTCCATTAAAAGCTTGGGCTGAGTCTCACCCCAAAATTTGTCTCCCAACTCATCCATACAACCTTCACCCTTACTGATTTCAGTATTAAGCTAGCAGAAACAGAAAAGGTATTTCTCAGCACTCTTGTGATCAGGGCACAGGGAGACAGGTCCCAGTTGTGCTGATGTGGAAAGAACAGTGTATGAGGTTGAAGCAAAGTACTAGTAGCACCTAGTATTCCAGAGGCTGCCTCTGTGATCCTGCTGAAGTCAACAAGGAATGGACTCATCCCAGAGGATATAAAGGATATCTTTCATTCAAAACAGCTATCTTACTTCTGGTCAAGATGGAGGCGTAGGTAAACACAGCTCACCTCCTCACATAACCACATCAAAATTACAACTAAATCGCAGAGCAACCATCACTCAGAACCATCAGAAATTGAGCTAAATGGAAGTCCAACAACTACTGAATTAAAGAAACCACATCCATCCAGACTGGTAGGAGGGGCAGAGATGCAGAACAGGCTGGGTCCACATCCATGTGAGGAGGAAAAAAATTCAGGAAGGATATCTCAAGAGCTAGGAGTCCCAGCCCACACCAAGTCCCCCAGCCCGGGGTTCCAGTGCCAGGAAGATAAGTCCCCACAACTTCTGGCTACAAAAAACAGTGGGGATTGAGTTGGTGGAAGAAACTTCTGGAGCCCCAAGCAGTTCCCCTTAAATAACCACACATAGACTTACTGAGACTCACTCTCTCAGAGCTCCAGCACTGGAGTAGCAGCTTAAAAGGCACCAGTGGCTTAAGAACAGAAACTGAAGTGTCTGAAATCAAGGCAAAATCTGGGGGACAGCTTTCTCCCAGACAGAAAGACGGGAAGAGGCCACTGTTCCTTTTCTGAACCCTCCCCCACACAGAGCTGCAGAGCTGGCAAGCAAGTGCCATATCTGAGACTCCATTGACCTGACTATCCCTGTTTCTCCTGCCCTGGAGATCCCCTGAGGCTCCATCCCACCTATCTTATGGGCCCATCCAAGCTGTTGACAGTGACTTTTCCATACAAATGGCTAGTCTTGGCTCAAGCTACACAACTTCCTAAATCCTCTCAAACAAGCAACATCTGGCCTCAGTGAGCCCCTAGCCCCCATATATCTCTTGCTAAGTGGCACCAGGCCCAACACTAACAGCAGCCACCCTGGGTTCACAGCTTGGTTTTGATTGGAAACTTCAAAGCCCAGCACAAGTAGCAGCCCTCTCAAATTGCTTTAAAGATCAGGAAGGGTGGCTCTAGGCAGAATACAGGATGGAGCTGACCTTGGCCTGTACCAACCAGGAAACCCCAGAGCCTGAGCATCCAGTGAACAACTACAGACCACATCAGAGTACCACCACCCTACCCCTGCAAAGCTGATCCTCGATGGAGGGCAGAGGTTGGTCATCAGTGGAACAGTCGGTCCTTGTAGCTGACTGTCCTGGGTAAATCGCTACCATTAACCTGCCAACAGCAATCAAGGCTCAACTACAAGAACAGAGTGTACTTAGCCCTAACAAAGGGTGCACCTTGAGTACCCTTCTCAGGTGATAGGGGAAGCTGGGTCACTGGACCCTATGGAAAACCTAGTACATTAAGCCATGCTACCAAGACAGGGAGTCATAGCAGCTCTATTTAATACCTAGACACAAACACAGGGAGTCTGCCAAAATGAGGAGACAAAGAAACATGGCACAAATGAAAGAACAGATCAAAATTCTAGAAAAAGAACTAAATGAAATGGAGATAAGTCATCTATCAGATGCAAAGTTCAAAATACTGGTTGTAAGGATGCTCAAGGAACTTAGTGAGGACCTCAAGAGCACAAAAAAGACCCATTCAGAAACAACGCATACACTAACTGAAATAAAGAACAATTTACAGGAAACAACAATAGAGTGAATGAAGCCAAGAATCAAATCAATGATTTGGAACATAAGAAAACAAAAAACAACCAATCAGAACAACAAGGAGAAAAACAAATCCAAACAAAACAAGGATAGCATAAGGAGCCTCTGGGACAACATTCCAACATTCACATCGTAGGGGTGCCCAAAGAAGAGAAGAAAGAGCAAGAAGTTGAAAATGTATTTGAAAATATAATGAAAGAAACTTCCCTAAGTTGATGAAGGAAATAGACATGTGAGGGACTTTCAGCCAAGATGGAGGCATAGGTAAACACACTGTGCCTCCTCACACAACCAAGATAGGGACAACAACAATTTCGTCACACAGTAACCACCAGAACTGACAGAAATTTGAACTGTATGGAAGTCGGACAACCAAGCAGTTAAAACAGACATGTTCATCCAGACTGGTAGGAGGGGCAGAGTCGGGCAGCCAGGCATCGTCGGGGTGTGGAGAGCAGAGAGCATTGGGACTGGATGTGTAAGACATCTGGGGCCTGCAAGACCACGGCAGGTGGACCCTGAGCGTGCAAGTGGCAGCTGGAAGACCCCAGCTAAGGGGTGGCAAATGGCAGACCCAGCGAGGTGGGAATTGTAAAGCAAGGCACTGTGTGCAACCCAGGATCACAGCGCTGCAAAATAGAGCCTCCGGACACTGATTGAAAACACCTGTGGGGGTTGAGGCACAGGGAGAGACTCACAGCCTCACAAAAGAGGTCCTTGGAAAGTCCCATGGGGTGCACAAGCCCACTCACATGGTAATCGGCACCAGAAGGGCCCAGTTTGCTTGGGGGAAGCAGTGGAAAGGACTGAGGTCTGACAGAGAGCAGAGGAAACGCCATTGTTCCCTCTCAGACCCCGCCCCCACATACAACGTCACAACCCAGCAACTGGGGTGCCCCGCCCTGGTGAACACCTAAGACTCCGCCCCTCATACATAACAGGCGTGACCAGACCAAAGCAAGGGGAGGGAGATGGCTCAAACAGAATGAAAGCCTCAGAGTCAGTACTTTAAAGCGACTGAGAGATAGCCAATCTATCAGATGCACAGTTCAAAGCACTGGTGATCAAGATGCTCACAGAATTGGTTGATTTTAGTCACAAATTAGATGAACAAATTCAGGCTACGATAAGAGAAATGAAGGAAAATGCACAGGGAACCAATAGTGATGGGAAGGAAACTGGGACTCAAAACAATAGAGTGGATCAGAAGGAAGAAAGAAACAACCAAACAGAAAAGAATGGAGAAATAAGAATTTTAAAAAAATGAGGAGAAGCTTAGGAACCTCCAGGGCATCTTTAAACATTCCAGCATCCAAATCATAGGGGTACCAGAAGGAGAAGAGGAAGAACAACAAGTGGAAAAGTTATTTGAACAAATAATAAAGGAGAACT